AGGCGGCCGGCCGCTTGAGCCGACGCGGCCGCGGGCGCACGCTCGCTTCCACTCCTTACGTCCCTCAGCTCGCTTTAGAGTGAGGCCCCCAAGAGGCTCCCAATAGGCCCCAACATTCCTCCCCAGAGGCCCCCGAGAGCATTCCGAAGAGACCCCAAGAAGCATCCCTGAGGACTTTGGCCCACGCCAGCGTCGTCGTCGTCGGCGTCGGCGTCGTCGTCGTCGTCGTCGTCTTTGTCGCCGTCTCCCTTCAGGGTCGGCGACACTGGCCAGAAGGCCTTCGCACTTGGGCTCCACATCGAGCCGCATCGGCGATGCATCGGCGATGCGGCGCCATTCTCCGAGCCCTATCTACGCCGACCCCATCTGGGAGGTCTGGAGTGATGTGCTCCATCCTGGCGCTTTTCCTCGACCTCGGCCCTCAGGGGCCGCCGGCGGGCCCAGGGGCCATCCAAAGCGGGACCTGGAGGTAACACCACCCCTGGTAAAGGAAGGAGTCAGGACCCCTGGGGCCGCGGAGTGGAAACATCACCTCGCCGGATGTCTGGGGAGGACGAGGAGAGCGCTGGGAGGAGGAGGGCGAGGCCCGGCGAGGACCTGGGCATCCGACGTGTTGGAAAAATCTGGGCCTTGGTTTTTGTTATCGTTTCCCGCCTCACGGGGCCCTCGCCGTGCCCTGGACCGTCAAGACACGACTCAGGATGGAAAGCAGGTCCCGGGAAAGGGGTCCGGACCGTCGGGGGGGCCACGTTCTGAAAAAATCGCGACGTCGGAATTCTCGGGAGGAGGAGGAGGAGAAGGAGGAGGAGGAGGAGGAAGAGGAGGAGGAGGAAGCCTCTTGGGGGACTTGGAACCTCTTAGGGACCTCTTATAAGGGCTTCTTGGGACCCCTTGGCGTTGCCTTGGCCCGTCGGACGCCTTCGGAGGTCATCTTGGTGGCCTCTCTAGACCGCTTTGTTCCGAAAACCTCTGCACCCATCCTCCCTGGAATTCTTGGTAACTTCGTAACTCCCTCCAGCAACGGCGAGGATGGCTACCAGACAAATAAGGACCGAACCCTCTGGGCGACCTGGTGGGTTCGTATCCATTTAGAAGCGCGTGGAGAACCAAGGTCCCCAGGGCGAGGGGGAATGATGGGGGGGACTGGCTCAGGGGAAGAAACATTGACCTGGAATCGGCGATACACAAAGAGGAGGGTGAGAAGAAGCGGAAGGAGGGTGGAGGGTAGTGTGGGAGGCGTTCGCTGGAATTCGCTGGCAACCGCGCTGTGGCTAGGACGAGGACGGGGGAGGAAGAGGAAGCGGAGGGAGGGAGATGGAGGAACTCGGCATCAACAACCGAACCCACACTGTACACACCTCTCCCCACAGCAGGCAGCCTGAGCTGCCGACCAGGGAAGGCTGAACAAAAAGGCCGCTCACGACTTAAGGTTCATGTCCAATCGGCCCCAGGTCAACGGGCACGGCACTCCTGGGATGCCATCGTTTGAGGAAATAACACCACGTATGACGGCGTCCGTCATCAGTGGGTCTTTCGGTCGGAGGACATGTAGAATTCTGACTGGATCCTCAAACCCGTATACGAACAACACATGGCGAAATCATGGGTAGACCTTCGCCCTGATTGGCACAGTCGGACCTAGGCCAGAACAACATCCTTCAAGAACATGAGACCCTCCGTCGGCCAAAACACCCCTAACCGTGAGATCATTTGATGGCACCCTCCCCCATGATGCACAAGAACATCAAACAAAAAAGAAGAACACTAGTGCATCCTCCCCGAACCGACCTCGATCTTACACCTCGGTACGACTGTATCGAACGCGACGGGCCTGCACTCTAAATCTCGCAACGTCTGAGCTATGATACCTTTGATAATCTGAGTGCCTTTGCACCGACCAGTCTTTGGTCTCCAGGACCCACACACAGCACGAAAACACATTGAGCAAATCCAATACGAACCTTCCCAGCGCCAACCGTGAGGAGGCGGCGGGACGGTCTCGGAGCAGAGGAAGGTTAGTCCATGGAAAATCCGTGAGGCCATCCTGGGGTCCATCCTGGGCCAAGAAAGCACTGCATTGGCATAGAACCTACTCACAGCACGACAAGCACGCTGGACGCGGGCAACTTGCTCGACCTCGTTTGGCGATGTCCGCGGGTGCCGGATAGCGGCAAGAAGAGCAGCCTTGTCAGCATGGACATTCCAGTGCGTGTGAATACGGTGTTGCTGGCGGAGGTGACGGCTGTCGGACACATGGCCCTCGTCAGCCTCGCCGACACTCTCCACATTAAAGCCCGACGCATGGGGCCGTAGATTCGGCGAGTAAGACGACGTAGAAGGGCCCAAGGGTGCAAGTACAGCCCCCGGGTGCATAAGAGGAACTCGGCAAGGTCGGTGTTTTCTATCAGATCAGCTGGCCGCCGAAGGTGCACGTTCCATCCTAGCGCCTTCAGCCTCTCATCCTCGACGCAGGGACAATCCCCAACTTCTGTGCATGACGATGTCGGGCGCTGCACAACCCAGAGGTCAGGTAAGGTCTTCTAGGCGCAGCTAGCTGCAAAAACATTGCATTTACATCAGAAAGCGCTACAAACACTGGCCTTTATGCACCCCAATTCTGCTTGTGACAACCGTGCACAGGCTGGCCGAAGCCCGGCAGGAGCTTTGCCCCCGACCCTTCTTCACGCAAGCGAACTTCAGCCAATCTGAAAGTCTGTTCGGAAGAGAAGGGGCATGAGGGCGAGCCGGAGCCGGGTAACGAACGGATCAGCCATGACCATGAAACTGGTCGTGGTCTGGCCGGTTCCGCGCAAACTGTTCTTCTTGTCAGAAACGGGCCTTTTGACCCCTTCCAATGGTCAGGCCCTGGTCCAGGAGCAACAGCTTGTCATGATCATACGAGATCCTTCAAGGAAAGATGTTCATCGAACGACCACATGTGGGTCCCCCAAACCTCTCTCGAGTACCTAGGGATGGGCGATGCGGGGCCGTAAAAGGTGGAGCACTTGTCGGGCACCAAGGCCGAGGCAAGAGAACGCGAACCAGCCTTTGACGCAATACACCTCCCATAGGCCCGCTCAGCCAGGCCCCACTCGGTACCCGAAACACCATGCACTTCACAACCGTAATAGCATCCTGGCAGAGGATCGACGATACACAGCTTCCTGCTGTGCCTTCCTGCAAACGGTTGTACAGTCTGCAGCCTTCGCGTTTCGTCTTAAGATAAGGAGTCAGTATATTGAAAGCCTTAGACCATCTGGGAGCCCGACGCGGCTTGCCAGAAGTGTGGTCAACTCCCAGGTTGGCTGCAAGAGAGACGGCACGTTTGCCTGCAAGCACCCCTAGGTCCTTGCGCAGCGCCACCGCAACGCGCTTCTAAGAGGCAACGAGGTTGCCATCTCTTCAAAAGTGCTGCCACCGAGATCGTTCACAACGGCAACGCGCAGTCAGCAGCGACCGCTAGATCGTAAGCTACATGGGGTGCCCTCCCAGAGGTTGTTCGGCCATGAACACAAATGTAGAGGTCAAATGAAATAGTGACTGCCATCTCAGCCACATCTAAGGGCATATGCTCAAAATCCAAATCACCGTAGCAACAAAAGGACATCCCACGATGACTCCAACAGACGCAAGCGATGGCCCAACAACCAGCCCACCCAAGCTGACGAAACGCGCGATGGCATGCGAGCGGTGGTCAGGTCAAAACTGTGCTCCCTACACCAGTGGAGGAGAAAGTCGGGATCGATGGCCTCGGAATATATTATAGAGTTCCTGATATAGGATGGCCGAGACGTGGCCGTCATTCATAACGGTCTTGGCTCTGATCGATTGCCTCCGTGCAACATCCGAGGAAGTCGTGAAAATTCCTACAGCTAAATGGGGGTGGCGATTTTGTTCTCCCCAAGATGCAGCGCTGTGTCCCTTTGCCCCGTAACATGTATATATATGGAGCAGAAGAGCCCGATGGGGCACGAAACCCTCCAGCTTGCTGAGCCAACAGAGACGCGACGGTAAGACGAGCCTACACAAATATGAGACTGCTGGACTCCATAGCACTGTACAGGGTGTCACGAATGTGGAGGCCGTCGACCGAAGTTGCTGTGTGCTGAGAGAACTTGCCACTCAGCCCAGAGATCCTCAGGGCTAAGAGTGGATAGGGCAGGGAGCGGCCGACATCGATCAGCACCTGGACTCGGGAACAGCTGGGCCTTCTACTACCTGGAAAAACGATCTGCTTCAGTCTGAAGGAGCGCCTGGGAATGGGCAACCAATGAGCAACAGGCAGGCAAGGTAGTGGTGGGAGCCCATGCTGCGAAGCCTCGTACGACCGAGTGCGCAATCAGATGTCTTAATCCTTCCAAAGACGCTTGTTGGGCAACGGCCTGAGCAGCCTTCATGGCAATGTCGACTTTCCAAGGAGGTTGTTCGCCTCCTGGCTGTCAAAATCTTCGCCGAGGGTGGTGAGCACTGCCCTGTGACAACCGTTATGCTGCTGCAGAGCTTCCTGCAGTAAGGACGGCGATTGGAAGATAGAAGCGCACACCTGGGCGGCCTGCTCGTGCAAGCCGTCTTCCAAGCATGAAGCGTAGAAGCGAAACTGGTGCGTGCGCCACTGGGTGGCGTAGAGACCTAGCTGGCGAACTGGGCCTTTTTATGAGGAAGAGGACGACGAGGAGGAAGATGGAGGAGGGAGGGGGAGGAGCACGATGAGGAGGAGGAGGAGGAGGAGGAGAAGGAGGAGGAGGAGGAGCACAAGGAGGAGGAGAAGGAGAAGGAGGAGGAGGAGCATGAGGAGGAGGAGGAGGAGGAGGGGAGGAGGAGGAAAAGGAGGAGGAGGGAGGAGGAGCACGAGGAGGAGGAGGAGCACGAAAAGAAGGAAGGAGGAGGAGGAGGAGGAGGAGGAGGGAGGAGGAGGAGGAGCACGAAGATGAGGAACGCTAGGAGGAGGCGGAGGAGGGAGGAGGAGGAGGAGGAGGAGGAGGGGGAGGAGGTGCCCAGGCCTCCGCAGCTCCGCCGTCCAGGCGCTCCCGCGCCAGCTCAGGGCCAGCCCCGGCGGGCAGCGCCCGGGCGCCGCCGCGGGACGGGGGCGCGGGCACCTGCAGGAACCTGGCCAGGAACTCGGCCGAGTGGTACGCGGGATCAGATCGGCGGCGAGCCCGAGGGGGGAAGTGAGAGGTTCGAAGTTCGAGGTTCAAGGTTTTCGGGCGTGTCCGTCGGTTCTCGGCGGTCTTGCAGCCTCGGGATGTGTTCCAGCGGCTCGCCTCGCCGAATGCGTTCCTAGGGTGCCCGGACCGTCCCGACCGGCCCGCCGGAGGCCCGACGTATGACCCGAAAACCACCAGGCGTCGAGGAAGCAGCCCTTCTCAGAGGCGGCGGGGCCTCTCAGAAGCCCTCAGGCCTTCTGAGAAGCCATCCCTGTCTTCGGAGAAGGCCTAGAAAACTTCTCAGAAGGCCGAAGGCCCTCCGAGCCTCTGACAAGGCCTGCCGCCCTCTGACTTCCCCCCGGGCTCGCCGCCGATCAAAAGAAGAAGAAAAGTCGGCGTAAACATACGACAACAACCCCCCAAGTGGACTCCAAGAGACCCCCCCAGGCCCCCGAGGCGCCCCCGACGAGGCTCCCAAGAGGCCCCGACGAGGCTCCCAAGGAGCCCCCGATGGGGCTCTCAAGAAGCCCCCGAGAGGCACTCAAGAAGCACCGAAAAGCCCTCCCCGGCTGCCCCCAGAGCCCTCCAAGAGGCCCAATCTGGGAGGTCGGCGGAATGGTGTAAGCCAATTGAATTACGCAACCGAAGAACCCCACATACTTATTTTATGCCACGTGTGTTCACAAACCATGTCACATCTCGCTTCGCCATCCTGACGAGAGACTGACCAGACCAGCCAGATCAGCCAGACCAGCCAGACTGACCAGACCAGCCAGATCATTCGTTCCAGCCATAACCAGCCAAAGTAATCTGACTAGCCAGCCAGACCAACCATATAGTCATGCCAACAACCGCAGCCAGAATCAGCCGGACTAACCACACGAGCCAACCAGGCCAACCAACCTGGACCATCCAGTTCAAGAGAATGGTGCACGGAGGTGGCAATTCGGCCACTGCACATTTTGGGGGCATGCCTGTGGGCGCCTGCTGTCTGTGAGCCTGCTCGAGCCGAGGTGTCTACAGTTAACCTTGCCGAGATTACTTCTGCCGCATACACGCCTGAGGCACCGGTGCATACTGCCCAAGATATCGACTCCAGAAAATGTCAAGGCTGCTACGCTACCTACGTACCCTCTCTGCTGTCAAGCCCCCTGTGGCGTCGAGGAAATGCCACGCCTGCCGCGCCCTGGGAGCCTGCGACGCACAGGGCCCCCACCCCCAGCGCACCCCCTGTGGCGTCGAGGAAGTGCCACGCCTGCCACGCCCTGGGAGCCTGCAGCGCACCCCTCCTGTGTCGAGGAAATGCCACGCCTGCTAGGCCCTGCGACATTGGCGCGTATAGAGACCGCGGTGGGCCCCCACCCACAGCGCACCCCCTGTGGCGTCGAGGAAATGCCACTCCTGCTAGGCCCTGCGACATTGGCGCGTATAGAGACCGCGGTGGGCCCCCAACCCCAGCGCACCCCCCGTGGCGTCGAGGAAATGCCACGCCTGCTAGGCCCTGCGACATTGAGGAAATGCCACTCCTGCTAGGCCCTGCGACACTGGCGCGTCTAGAGACCGCGGTGGGCCCCCACCCCCTGCAGCGTCGAGGAAGTGCCACTCCTGCTAGGCCCTGCGACATTGGCGCGTATAGAAACCGCGGTGGGCCCCCACCCCCAGCGCACCCCCTGTGGCGTCGAGGAAATGCCACTCCTGCTAGGCCCTGCGACATTGGCGCGTATAGAGACCGCGGTGGGCCCCCACCCCCAGCGCACCCCTGTGGCGTCGAGGAAATGCCACTCCTGCTAGGCCCTGCGACATTGGCGCGTATAGAGACCGCGGTGGGCCCCCACCCCCTGCAGCCACTCCTGCTAGGCCCTGCGACATTGGCGCGTATAGAAACCGCGGTGGGCCCCCACCCCAGCGCACCCCTGTGGCGTCGAGGAAACGCCACTCCTGCTAGGCCCTGCGACATTGGGCGTATAGAGACCGCGGTGGGCCCCCACCCCCAGCGCACTCCCTGTGGTGTCGAATGCCACTCCTGCTAGGCCCTGTGACATTGGCGCGTATAGAGACCGCGGTGGGCCCCCACCCCAAGCGCACCCCCTGTGGCGTCGAGGAAATGCCATTCCTGCTATGCCCTGCGACATTGGCGCGTATAGAAACCGCGGTGGGCCCCCACCCCCAGCGCACCCCCTGTGTCGAGGAAATGCCACGCCTGCTAGGCCCTGCGACATGGGCGCGTATAGAGACCGCGGTGGGCCCCCACCCCCAGCGCACCCCTTGTGGCGTCGACGAAATGCTACGCCTGTTAGGCCCTGCGACATTGGCGCGTATAGAGACCGCGGTGGGCCCCAAACCCCAAGCGCACCTCCTGTGGCGTCGAGGAAATGCCACGCCTGCCACGCTTTGCGAGACCGAAACGCATAGCGCCCCCACCCACAGCGCAACCCCTTTGTGGCGTCGAGGAAATGCCACGCCTGCCACGCTTTGCGAGACCGAAACGCATATGGCCCCCACCCCCAGCGCACCCCCTGTGGCGTTGAGGAAATGCCACGCCTGCCAAGCTCAGGGACCATCCCCCTGCACACCCGCTCTGGTGCGAGAAAGAAAAGGGGAGGGAGGAGGTGAGACGCGGGTGCGGCGCGGCAGGGAAAAAAACAAACCCCACGAAACATGTGGGAAATAAACATATGACCCGAACCACAGCGTGCCGCCAGCGCATAAGCCCCGCACGCGCAGACCCAAAGCAGAACCCATCGAGGGCTCCGCGAGAGGCGGGGGGCCACTTCAGAAGCCGCCCGATTCACATTACGCTACCGAGGGACCCCACATACTTATTTTATGTCACGTGTGTTCACAAACCATGTCACATCTCGCTTCGCCATCCTGACGAGAGACTGACCAGACCAGCCAGATCAGCCAGACCAGCCAGACTGACCAGACCAGCCAGATCATTCGTTCCAGCCATAACCAGCCAAAGTAATCAGACTAGCCAGCCAGGCCAATCAAGCAGACCAGCCAGACCAACCAGATTAGTCATGCCGACAATAGCAGCCAGAATCAGCCGGACTAACCACAAGAGCCAACCAGGCCAACCAAGCACACCAACTAGACCAGACCAACAAGAACAGACCAACCAGACCACGCCAACCAGACCAACCAGACAAACAAGCGTCGTCGTACTGAGCGTACTGAGCGTCGTCGTCGTCGTACTCGTCGCACTCGTCGTCGTACTCGTCGCACTCGTCGTCGCACTCGTTGTCGTACTCGTCGTCGTACTCGTCGTCTTCGTACTCGTCGTCGCGTATCTCGTCGTCGTACTGGGCACCGGCGCATGCTGCCCAAGATATAGACTCCAGAAAATGTCAAGGCTGCTACGCTACCTACGTACCCTCTCTGCTGTCAAGCCCCCTGTGGCGTGCCACGCCTGCCACGCCCTGGGAGCCTGCGACGCACAAGGCCCCCACCCCCAGCGCACCCCCTGTGGCGTCGAGGAAATGCCACGCCTGCCACGCCCTGGGAGCTTGCAACGCACCCCTCCAGTGTCGAGAAAGTGCCACGCCTGCTAGGCCCTGCGACATTGGCGCGTATAGAGACCGCGGTGGGCCCCCACCCCCAGCGCACCCCTTGTGGCGTCGAGGAAGTGCAACGCCTGCCACGCCCTGCGACATTGGCGCGTATAGAGACCGCGGTGGGCCCCCACCCCCAGCGCACCCCCATGTGGCGTCGAGAAAGTGCCACGCCTGCTAGGCCCTGCGACATTGGCGCGTATAGAGACCGCGGTGGGCCCCCACCCCCAGCGCACCCCCTTCGGCGTCGAGGAAATGCCACTCCTGCTAGGCCCTGCGACATTGGCGCGTATAGAGACCGCGGTGGGCCCCCACCCCAGCGCACCCCCTGTGGCGTCGAGAAAAGCAACTGCTAACCGCTTGGCGCGGCAGACCGCGGCGTCGACCCAGCTAGGCCCTGCCCGCTAGCGCACCCCCTTCTGGTGTCGAGAAAGTGCCACGCCTGCTAGGCCCTGCGACATTGGCGCGTATAGAGACCGCGGTGGGCCCCCACCCCCAACGCACCCCCTGTGGCGTCGAGGAAGCGACATTGGCGCGTATAGAGACCGCGGTGGGCCCCCACCCCCAGCGCACCCCTTGTGGCGTCGAGGAAATGCAACGCCTGCCACGCCCTGCGACATTGGCGCGTATAGAGACCGCGGTGGGCCCCCACCCCCAGCGCACCCCGTGTGGCGTCGAGGAAGTGCCACGCCTGCTAGGCCCTGCGACATTGGCGCGTATAGAGACCGCGGTCTGGCCCCACCCCCGGCGCACCCCCTGCTGCGTAGAGAAAGTGTCACGCCTGCTAGGCCCTGCGACATTGGCGCGTATAGAGACCGCGGTGGGCCCCCACCCCCAGCGCACCCCCTTGTGGCGTCGAGAACGTGCCACGCCTGCTAGGCCCTGCGACATTGGCGCGTATAGAGACCGCGGTGGGCCCCCACCCCCAGCGCACCCCCTCTGGTGTCGAGGAAGTGCCACGCCTGCCACGCTTTGCGAGCCCGAAACGCATAGGGCCCCCACCCCCAGCGCACCCCCTTCTGGTGTCGAGGAAATGCCACGCTTGCCACGCTTTGCGAGCCCGAAACGCACAGGGCCCCCTCCCCCAGCGCACCCCCTGCTGGTGTCGAGGAATTACCACGCCTGCCACGCTTTGCGAACCCGAGAAGGAGAAGGGGAGGGGGGAGGAGGTGAGACGCGGGTGCGGCGCGGCAGTGAAGAAAACCAGGACCCTACGAAACATGTGGGGAACAACAACAACAACAACAACAACAACAACAACAACAACAACATCAACAACGACAACAGCATCAACAACAACAACAAAAAAATCTTTAAACATTAAAAAAATCGTTTGAAAAATATAAAAAAACGACAACAACAACAACAACAACAACAACAACAACAACAACAACAATCATTTTAAGAC